GGTCTAGGGTTTACGGTTCAAGTTCGATTCGCCCGACTCACAAGCCCGACATCCGACGTCATTCTGAGATGCTCTGGGCACCTGAATTCCTACCCAAAACCCAAAACCCAAGACCCGTAAACTAGCACCTAGCCTTCGACCTTCAGCCCAAAAAAACACCCTAAGCACTAATCCCAAACCCCAAACCCTGTAAAGAACTCCAAAGTTTGCGAGGAGTCAGTTGCAGACCTTAAGCCCCAAACCCTAAACCCTAAACCCCAAACCCCAAACCCCAAACCCCAAACCCCAAACCCCAAACCCCAAACCCCACAAGCTGGCGCTCTGGCCCTCTCAAAAATCACAAATTTGAACTTGGGTGATGTTTTGCTTAGGGTTCCGGGCGAGTGGGGGGTGGTGTCGGATTGGGGGTGCTCCAGCACTGCTTGCAAGTACTAAACCGTGGAACCCTGATATGAACCCTCCTAAACCCTAAACCCTAACCCTAAACCCTAAACCCTAAACCCTAAACCCTAAACCCTAAACAGTTGCGAAGCAGGCAGTGAAACAAGCAGTGAACCGACAGAGACCGCCAGCGAACCGGAAGAGGTCGAAGAGGTCGCCGGATGCCCAGCCCTATAGGGGGTTTCGGGTTTAGGGTTTGGGTTTAGGGTTTAGGGTTTAGGGTTTAGGGTTTAGGGTTTAGGGTTTAGGGTTTAGGGTTTAGGGTTTAGGGTTTAGGGTTTAGGGTTTAGGGTTTAGGGTTTAGGGTTTAGGGTTTAGGGTTTAGGGCTTGGGGGCAGGCTTCAGTTCACAGATAGGACTCGAAGGGTTTTGGGCCTAGGGCCCTGTAAACCCTAAGCCACTCAATGAGTGTAGGGCTTGGGTCCAACATGTGCTTGTGTCCGCAGATGTGCTGCTGATAGCTCTGCCAGGCATAGAGAGTGGACAGCTTAGCTGTTTCCCTAAACCCTAAACCCTAAACCCTAAACCCTAAACCCTAAACCCTAAACCCTAAACCCTGAACCCTGAACCCTAAACCCTAAACCCTAAACCTTGTCACTCCGTGGAACCCACCCTCATGTAGTCGTGCGGGCGTGTGCCCTGTCCATCGTCATAGCAATTGCTTAAGAACCACCCCCAAAAAACAATATATACATATATATGTATGTATATATATATATATTTTTTTTTGTTCTTCCTCATTGGAAGGGCTCGCTGACAATATTCTTCCTTAGAAGGGCAGTATAGGGATTGTTATTCTTTATTCTTTGTAAGGGTTCTTAAGCAAATTTAAGAGTTCTTTAGCAAATAGTTAAATAGTCAACTCGCTTACGATTTGAGACCCCAAACCATGTGGGAACCTATTGGGGAGCCTTTAGCCCCGAAACCTCGGGAGTGACTCAGTGACTCGCGTTGAGGCTTGAGGGTCCTAAGCCCTAAGCCCTTAACCCTTTAACCTAAACCCTACACCCTAAGCGTTCATACATTCATTCCAGTCACCAATAATTTCAAGGTAAACCTTGGAGAGAATCCTAAAGGTAACAAAGAATCCTGGTAATCGAGGGAGATGTCGTAAACTGTCTTTATGAGATGGGTTTTGATAAGCAGTGAAAGGATGCATGAAAACCAAGCGAAGAAAGTAAAACGATGACATTGAACGAGAGAGAGAGCACGGGCTAGTAACAAGACTATTTTCGTGCTTCATTCCTTCATTACAAAGTAAAAGTAGTAGTAGTAGTAGTAGTAGTAGTAGTAGTAGTAGTAGTAGTAGTAGTAGTAGTAGTAGTAGTAGTAGTAGTAGTAGTAGTAGTAGTAGTAGTAGTAGTAGTAGGTGACACGCTCTTAACTGATCATGGTGTTTTCTGCTGTTTTTTCAGTTCTTCTATCGTTTTTCCTGTTTTTCCTCCGTTTGACGGGTTGGGGGGGGGGGGTAATTACGTGCTCTGCTTTGTGCACACATGACCACGCTCAACTGTTTTGCTCTGTTTTTTTGGGCTCACAGTGGAGGGTTGAGGATTTGGGGTTTCCGGGTGGAGTTTTTTTTGGGCTTGTTTTGGGAACCTTTTGGGCTTCCACTGGACATATGGGGTTTCAGGTTTCAGGCTACAAGTCTTTTGTTTTTTTTTCAGGCTACAGATCTTTTGGGTTTTTTGGGCATTTGAGGTTTAGGGTTTCCGGGCAAGACCTTTTGGGCTGACAGTGGAGGGTTTCCGGGCAAGAACTTGTGGGCTCACAGTGGCGGGTTTAGGACTGGCACATTTCTTGTTACGGGGTCTTGACTTTGTTTTTGCTCGCCCAGTGGCTTTCGGGATTTCTTGAGGGAGAGCTTTTTGGGACTCTAAACCCTAAACCCTAGACCCTAAACCCTAAAGCCCTAAACCCCTAGACCCTAAACCCTAAACCCTAAACCCTTCAGTGTTGTGGGCCCTGCGTTGTTTTGCAGCTACAGAAGCTATCATTCGCATCACCGGCCGAAATTCATCAGCCACGCTTGGCACATGAGATGATGATCGGATACGATGGCATGAAGCTTTGCAAAAAGCTTCACAGACTGTATATTAGTGGAACACATGTTTCTGACTTCTGTACACGACATGGCCTTCAGGGCCGATGTCATAAGCCGCTGCAATTGCTTCACCTGCATAGCCGAGTCGTTGAAGGCCATTCTAATTTTGCTTATGAAAGACAGCGGCTGCTCAGAAAACGACGGGCACGGCATCTTTACGAGGGAGACATTGCTTTCGCTCAGGACAGGCTCATGCCATGGGATCTCACGTAGATTGTACATGACATTGATGACCAAGATCAAGACGTCTGTGAACTCATTCGGCTCCCAGCGCAGGCACTGATACAGCATTTCGGCCGCCTTGTTTTTGGCAGCCCTAGACCAACCCCTACAGCCTAGACCCCTACGCCCTTAAACACCATTCTGAAACGCCTATAGCCTACACCCATCAGCGGCCTTGAGGATGTCCGTCACTGGACCAGCAGCAAATGCAGCAAACAATTCGCTCGGGATCTGCTCGTGCATATCTGCTGCCATGCTGAAAACAAAAGCTGGATGGCACTCCATGCAGAACACTACAGGGATAAGCGGTTCGGTCACGTAAAAGCTCTGCAGAAAACAGGAAGGCTTTCACAACGCACGCTCATGCCGCACAGCCCTTACGCTCAGGACATGCATGCAATGCCCTCGTTTGCTGGAGGCGTTCGGGTTTAGGACAAGTTTGGCCACATCTTAAAAAACCCGCGAAACGCTGTAAATACCGATCTTTTCCTCTGTTCTGAGAACACGTCTGCGCAAAATAGGCCCTGTAATTGACCGTTTTTGAAGCCCGAAAACACTGTAAATACCGATGTTTTCCTCCTGCGCATAAAGTAGTTGAAAGTAGTTTGCGCGACTTTTTACACATCCATTTTTCGTGTCCGTAAACCCACAAAGCCAGGAAACACTGTAAATACCGAGGTTTTGGTCTCTTAACACGAAAATTGCATGCCACAAAACCCCTGCGATCAATTAAGAACGCGACGCCTAGTAGTAGTAGTAGTAGTAGTAGTAGTAGTAGTAGTAGTAGTAGTAGTAGTAGTAGTAGTAGTAGTAGTAGTAGTAGTAGTAGTAGTAGTAGTAGTAGTAGTAGTTAAAGCGCTGTCATTCCAAAGCCTTTAGACGCACTGCTAGCCCCTGTTAATAGCCTGTGAATGAAGGGGTCAAAAGTCAAAAAGGCTGGAAAGAAGTCAGTAAGGCTTGGCAATTCTTGGTGGATTTTTTATACAGGATTTTGGTTGTAGTGGGTGCTTTAATGGGGCGTTCCCCATCCACTCTATATAATTTGCCCAAGAAAATATTGTATTACGGGCGCAAAAGAGGGTGTTGTATAGAGCGCCCGGGAAAGGCCCCCATCAAATATACTGCATTTGTAAGGAAACAAAGGACATACGAAATGCAGCACATTTTCAATTGGGCTTTTTGTGCGTTTTTTCTTTATTATATCCCGGGCCTTTATTCGCACGGTGAATGAATAGAATGAATGCACGCGCGTGCGTAATGTTATCCCGGGAGTGAATACAAGATTCTTATAGCGGCCAAGAAGCAGATAATAATATGGCCGCGAGAAAGATACGGGCCAGCTAGTACTTTATAAGGCCCGTTAATAGAATTATATTCATGCCTCGCGTGCTCACTCCTTACAATGCACGCGGTAATAATATAATTGAAAAGTGAATAAACGCACGAAGTAAGTGCAATGAACGTATGAATGAACGGGTGAGCGAAATAAGCGAACAAAAGCACCATTTTGCCGTGCATTGAATGAATGCGTACACGTGTGAACGAACTTCATGAACAAATGCACATGTAGACCCTAAACCCTGAACCCTCAACCCTAAACCCTGAACCCCTGGCCAGTGCACTCCGACCAGGAGCAGCTTGTCCCTGTGCGCTGGCAGAAGCAGGCTTAGGGTTGAGGGTTGAGGGTTCAGGGTTCAGGGTTCAGGGTTCAGGGTTCAGGGTTCAGGGTTCAGGGTTCAGGGTTTAGGGTTTAGGGTTTAGGGTTTAGGGTTTAGGGTTTAGGGTTTAGGGTTTAGGGTTTAGGGTTTAGGGTTAGTTTTGGGGGGTTCGGCGGTGGTGGTTGGGGAGGAGCTGCTTCGTTGCTTCCTGGCTCCGGAGGGGCGGCGTTTTCATCACTTAGCCAAAGGCTAAAGACTTGTTGGGTTTCCTTTTTGTTCCGTCTCTGTTGCGGAAGACTACGTATAACTGGTAGAATCCCGTGCCAATTCGGCTAGTACAAAACTGAGCCTGTCCGTTTCCTGGCTCTTGGAGAAGTGAGGACCAGCTTCGAGTGTCCTGGAATCTCCTGACATCGCTACACTCCCCAAATATTGGCCAGCCGGCCCCGGCACCTTGCTAATTCTGAGCCGGTGTCAGGGCATCCGGCTACCTGCGTAACTTCCTCAAAGGCCTGTACAGAAGTCTACTTAAAGGTTCCATGTCCCCGAACCCTGAGCCCCAAGCCTTCAGCCGCATGTGTCAGGCAGCCAGCCGAGAGTACGCCGAGTTCTTAGACCGCCTTCACCCGGAGCAAGGTGTAGGCGAGCTTAGGGTCTTCAGTTGAAGGTTTAGGGTTTAGGGTGTAGGGTTTAGGGTTTAGGGTTTAGGGTTTAGGGTGTTCGATGAGGTAGGACCCTAAACTCAATGATTCCCTGGCTTCAGCCTGAATGGCGACCTCACAGTGTAGCGTTCCTGCCTTGGAGGTCGGCCCCAGCTACCACTAGTGCTACCGCTACCGCTACTGCTACCGCTACTGCTACCGCTACTGCTGCTGCTACTGCTGCTGCTACTGCGACTGCCACCGGAAACCCTAGAGAAATGGAATCTTTCTCCGGAGGGTTCAATGGTACAGGGCATTCAAGGGTCTAGGACTCAGTATGGTTTAGGGGCTTTGTAGAGCTTTGCAAGGTTTAATAGGGTTTGCTAGGGTTTAGTAGAATTGGCAGGGTTTAGTAGGATTTGTAGGGTTTAGTAGGGTGCAGTAGCAAGGAATGTAGCATGAGAGTAGGCTGAGGTTGAAACTGAAGCTGCCCTGGCCCGCAGACCTTCCAACAAGGTTTCTTGAACACCTTGCTTGGAACCCCCACTCTTCGTAAACCCTATTTAGGGTTTGGTTTTCGGGGTTTTGCCCTGAATTCGACAGGCGAGAACGTGATCATCACCAGCGTATCCTCGACCTACGCCGCCCCCCAAGCACTGCACGACGCCCTCCAGCGGTTTCAGGTTTACGGCGGCCGGTTCAGGGCCTAAGTTGTTTTTACCCTAGGATTTTGTGCTCCAAACTCCAAACAATAGCGAACTACTCCGTAAAAGGTACTCTTTGAATTCTATGTGTTGCGTTTTCTTGTTTTGCTAGTCGTGCTCTTTCAGCAAATCTTCGATTTAGGGGGTCACTGCTTCTCGGGTTTGTTTCCTAAGCTTAACCTACCGGCCTAACCCGAAACCCTAAAGCCTAAACCCTAAACCCGAAGGCCTCTAACCGAAGCCCTGAGCATAGCCCGGGGGACTCTGCCACCTCGTCTGCTCTTCGGGTTCGCGGGCTTAGGGGATTAAGGTGTACAGTTTAGGATTTAGGGTAAACCCTAAACCCTAAACCCTAAACCCTTTTTCGACTGAGGTTTCTTGTTGAGGGTTTCAGTCGTCATTGAGGCACCGATCACGATTGAGAAGTCGGACTGTCTTGCGCGCGTTTGGAAATGCAGGGTGCAGACCTCAGCAAAGCAAGGGAAACCCAAAACCCTAAAGCCCAAACCCTAAACCCTAAAGCCGAAACCCTAAACCCTAAACCCTAAACCCTAAACCCTAAACCGCAGGGAAGCAGGCTGCTGTGGGCGGCGGGTGGGAGGGCGTCGTCCCCAATGCTTTGGGTTTCAGGGCTCGGAAACCCTCAGCCACCACTAGGTTTTTGGGGCAAGAAGTCAAGGGATTCATCCTCAGACCCCTGAGCCTAAGAGGTTCCCTTAATATACTCCTAGTATGGCCCTTCTATTCCCTTAGAACCCAAAGATGCAGCCTCTAGGGGTCCGAGGTAGAATCCCAGGAAGAAGAGCACCAGCCTGGGGAAGGAATGGGTGAGGTTGGCCCTAAACCCTAAACCCTAAACCCTAAATAAACCCTGAACCCTGAACCCTAAACCCTAAACCCTAAACCCTAAACCCTAAACCCTAAACCCTAAACCCTAAACCCTTAACCCTAACCCTAAACCCTAAACCCTAAACCCATGGCGCCTTGCAGAACCTAAACCCTAGATGAGCTTAGGATCTCGGGTTTTGGAGTTCAGCATGGCTTACAAAGGTTTGTAGGGTTAGGGGTTTAGGGTTTATAGGATGTTTAGGGTTTAGAGGTGAGTCGTAGACTACATGTCACCCCCTATGTCCACAGAAGGTGAGGCCAAGCGATGCGGCTGGAGACGAGGACGCAGACTCGTGCGTGAAACATAGTCAAAACTGGTCTCAGGCGGTCTTAAAGGGTTTAGGGTTTAGGGTTTAGGGGTCAGGGATGTTCAAGGCATTCGGGGTCAATCCTTCCGACTCTGTGTCGGCCAAAGCCCTCACAGAAAGAGGTGGGTCTTTTGGGCAGATTCCCTAATCCCTAGGCACTAGACAGGCTTGCGCTGCTTCGGCGGTTCCGGATTAAGGCTCTTCTGCGCCCCGTGGGACAAAACCCCTCCGTTCCACCCCCAAAATGGTCCCCCGCCCCCGCCCCTCCCCCCGCCCCCCCCAGCAGTTTTTTGTACCATAGGATTGTGTCAAACCCTAACCCCTAAACCCAAAACCCTAACCCCTAACCCCTAAACCCTAAACCCTAAATCCTAAACCCGAATTTTCAGAAGCAATATTGCGCGACCTGGTGGAGAGAACCCAAACCAAGACTTCAAGCTATGACTGTACACGACGAGGATCATCCAAAACCTTCATGAGCGGTTGCTACTATTTGCTTAACCCCCCCCCCCCCCAAAAAAAAAAAAAAACTAAACAAACAGTAATCCCTATATTACCCTTATAAGGAAGAATAATAATCCCTATATGACCCTTATAAGGAAGAATATTTTTGGAGGGTTCTTAAGCAGTTGGTAGGTTGGTAGGTTTCCTTGCAACAGGAAGTTGCATGGTGCTCTCCCCAAGGTGATTGCAGGGTTATTGGTTTAGAGTTTAGGGTTTATGGTTTAGGGTTTAGTGTTTAGGGTGGATAGACCCTATAAGCCTCCAAATCATCTGATGAGTTTTGGAATTCATCGTGATCAGCCTCAAACTATTCTATATTCGGTGGTCTGGGGTCGCTATTCGTTTGATGTTCCCTAAACCCTAAACCCCAAACCCTAAACCCCAAACCCTAAACCCCAAACCCTAAACCCTAAACCCTAGACCCTATGCGGAGCTGCAGTTGGTATTGTAGAAAGGAGTTGGTATTGGAAGTTGAAGGGTCAATGAACCCGGTAATCTTATGGCTCAAGCCATGACCAAAGCGGTCGAAGGTTTCGTAAAAAGTGTGCCCTTGGTTTGGGGTCTTGTTGTTTGGTTGTTGGTTGTTCCAGGGGAATCAAGGGTTTCTGTTGGGGTTGACTGTTTTGTTCCCTGTCCTCCTTCGGTTGCCCCCCGTAGGTTATGAGCCCAAATTAGGCTTCCTGCGGAATAGGTAAAGATTTTTCGTTTGTTTAACGCCATGGACATGATGCGGCGTCGCTCTGAGCCTGGACTGTCGCCAACGGCCAATGAAGCCGAAGGAAATCGTGGTGATGGGGGTGAAGATCGACAACAAATGGTACAAGCGCTGACAGATGGTAGGGAGGTTGCAATGATACAACCAACGCCTCAGGTGGAAAACGAAGTGGTTCCGGTTCAAGCAGCAAATCCTTTCTGGAGCGAGCGGGCTCAAGAAGAAATGAGACTTAGGCAATCAAGGCCGGCAAGTCTTCCTGCGAGCGGAGGGGATAGAAGTGGTGAAGGTACGAGGAGGCCACCTTCGCTGCAAGATCTTTTGGGTCAGGAACCTGCACCTGTTGAGAGACCATCGTCAGGCTTAATGGGCCAAATGGAACGAGGTACTATTGGTGGAGTGCAAGCCGACGAAGAACTCATTCCTGATGTTAGTGGTGAAGAGCAAACTGAAGATATGGCGGTGGTGAAGCGTGCGCTGAAAGAGTTGCTTGTGCAGACAAAGGAGCTGGGGAACAGGCTGCATCGGGTGGAGGAGAAAAGCTATACCTCTGCTGCATCTGGGTCAGCTTCAAGGGCACGGAGCTCTGGAGTGGTGGACGCAAACACGGCATATCCTCTAGGAATGACTCCAGAGAAGCAGTACCTGCCAGGACAAGTTTCTACACGGATGGTATGGGTGGTTTTTGGACTGTGTTGCCTGATGGGACATGGCTGCCTATTGAGGGCTACGACCTGCCAAAGGGTTGTGATCTTCAATCCTTGCCTGGGTCCAGGAAGGGGGATGTTCAAGTGGAGGATGAAAAAGAAGTGCCAATGATGCATGTAGCTGAAGGGAAGAAACCCTCCAGATTGCCTCCATTGAATTACCCCACGGGAGGTCCTGCAAGTGGTGGATATGCAAGTGGACCACCTGGTTTAACACATGTTCCGATTACTTCCGTGCCGTCAGGTGTTGATGGTTCTGCCGCAACTCTGGGGAACCAGCCCGGTTTTGTTTCAGCTCGGGAAACTGCAACGCAAGAGAACTCAGCAGGATCGGGCGGATATACAATGGTGGATGATGTTCCGTATCGGTGGAAAATGGTCGCTGGGAAGTTGGAATTAGAAAAGGTTCCGCTCACAGCTGTTACGCCTGGTATAGGACATGGACTACCTCAAGGGCCTGGTGGTAGGGTCAGTTTACCTCCTGGAGCAGTGGTGCCTCGTGGTATGCCAATCACTGGTGATAGTTCTGGAACCGAACGTCCGGAGGCTCTCGGGAAGCATGTGATGAGCCTTCCAACTTTGGCAGACTACACACCAAGCAATCCGACTGCACTGGGTGATTGGATCGCAATGATCGAACCAATGTTGTCTTCACTGACAGATACAGGAAGAGTGTGGTGGCAATGCGTCTACTCAAAGGCATATCAAGCGTATGCCAAATGGTTGAGTGTTTCTCCGCTGGAAAGGTTGGGCATCAAGGCTGAGCTGGAAGGGCTCAAAGTGGTTCAAACTGTGCATGTTTTGTTGGAGCAGAGAGCGGTGTCTTTGCTGTTACAGGCGATCCCGGAGAGATTGAAGACCGAGATCGGTTCCACTCGAATGTTGGGGTCAGTGATGATATTTTACAAATTGCTGACGGTCTACCAACCAGGTGGAGCAAATGAGCGCAGCACAATGTTGAACTTCTTGGTGCAACCATCTCCAGCAACCTCGCTCTCAGAGGCCATAAAGGGAGTGCGTCAATGGGCGCAATGGCGTTCCCGATTGAGGGAGTTGAGAGCGGCCGAGCCGGACGCTACCTTGCTTATCAAGGGATTGGATGGTTTGTCATCCGCGTTGCTGGCGAAACACCCTACGGTTCATTTCAGAGTGGCATCCTTTCGGGAGAAATTGGGGGTGGACTACTCGCCGACCTCTGAAACTGCGACAAAACTAGCTGAAATGTTACAGGCAGAGTTTGAACTGCTATTGCATAGTGCTGGTGAACAAGAGGTGAAGCAGGACTCGGACGCCAAGAAAAGGGCCAGGTTAAACAAGGCCCAAAAGGGAACTGGTGACGAGACAGAGGAGGGTGACAAAGGCAAAGGGAAAGGAAAAAGGTACAGCGGAGATGGTGAACGTCCTTTCTGTTGGATATATGGGAAGACCGATGCAGGTTGCAAGTTCGGATCCCGCTGCAAATTTCGCCATGACAAAGACTCCCTTGAGCGAGGAAGATGTTTTGAGTGTGGGGCCGTTGGCCATCTGCAGCCGCAATGTCCATATTAGGATGGTGCAAGTTCCAATGTGGACTCAAATCCTGAGAGGAGTAGATCTAAAGGGAATTCTCCCAAAGGGGGAAAGGGCGGCAAAGGTGCGAAATGGGGAAATGCCAAAAAGGCAGAGGTAGCTGAAGGGGGAGATGAGACGGCTAATGCGGGATTGGATAAAGGTTCTGCAAGTCCCTCATCACCATCAACACCCAATCAAGTCCTTGCTGAAGCGTTGGAAGTGCTGAAATCCATGAAGCTGTCATCAGCACAGTCAGCATCAAGCGGGGATCCCAGTGTTCGAATGTTATGTGGCTCTGGGTTGTTTCAGCAGGAAGGGAGAGTGGCGTTGGTGGATACAGCTGCTACGCATCTTGTGCGGACGCTTTTTCCATGGGAATGTTTACCCGACACTACTGTTATGGTGCAAAGCGCGCTTGGTGGTGTGACAATGAGGATTACAGAGAAAGGGACGTTGATTAGGGAAGACAATGGGCCCCTGATTATCCCTCTCTGGTTGATTTTGGAGTTTGGGGCGAACCTCACCGTGATCAATGGGATGTGTCACGTGAGTGCAAAATCTTCGCTGGACCAGCTCTTGTGGTTTGAACATGGCTGTTTGGTTATGGATAACAAAACAGCTGAAAAAAATGGTTTTGCATGCTGAAAGGCAGCGTGCGTCTTGGTCCCATTCTCAATGGAGGAATGGAAGGGCGGACTGTGGAGTCGGTTCGTCGGATGCCACGTTGTTGCCGAAGCAGGGAGAAGGCCGAGGAGTATGCGTTCTACATGTGGCGGTTTCTGACACCAATGAGTGTTCGGGAATGGGCATGTTGGACTCGGGAGCATCACATCCTCTCAGATCACTTCGTCCTGGTGAACAGCTTCCGCAGCAAAAGGTGTTGGTGTCTTTAGCTGTTGGATCTCGGGAGATGTGTATTACCCCAGGTGGGACCCTGGTAACTCCTGAAATGGTAGATCCACTAGTGCCAATTGGCAAAGCGAGCGCCGTGGTTGGTCTCAGAGTTCAGTGGCGTGGTGGCAAGTGCACAGCCTCACATCCTGTTCTGGGGGAACTTCGCGTTCGTGATCTGAATGGGTGCCCTTGTTTGGAAAAGGAGGTGGCGCTTCAGATCATTGATGAAATGGATTGGTGCTCACCAAAGCAAGCTTTGAAGGTGGCACGTATGGTTCAAGGGTGTCCGAATACGGACAACGAGGTGGCTGTAAAACGTCGTTGCAAAGCGCAGCACGGACAGCGTCAGCGAATGAGGAGGAGTTCGTCCAGGCATGCTGGAGATTTCTTCGGTGGTATTATGGGGATATACCAGAAAATATGCTGATGGAGCTGTTGCCACGTGGAGATATTGCGGCGTTGCCTTTCAACCGTCATAAAAGGAGACGGCTGGCACGAGCAAAAGGGTGGTGGTACACCTATTTTCGGGAAAACAAAAATGGCATTTTCCCAGTCGGGATGTGGAGGTACTGGAGCTGGATTTGACAAAAGGTGGTGACCTACATA